GGGCTGTGTGCACAGTCTTGTTGTAGTTAAGTCTTGATTGCTGTTGGTATCACAGGCCAATTGGCTGTGGGGACCAGCTGTGTCTACAATAGGAGAACTGCTGTGCTGGAGACACCCTTATGGAACAGGGCTTGCTTCAGTGGGGCTTTGGTGCTCCCTGAGTCTGCCTCTTGAGTGTGTCGCTTATGGATGTGAAGAGTTGTACTCTGGTATGATCTCACTCTGGCCACTGGGTACAGTGGCTCTTGGATCTCCAAGGAGGTACAAAGTCAATCACTGCCTGAGCCATCCTGAGGAGCTACAGAGAGATCTGCAGGTTTTTCCTTTGTTTGGGGTTTGGAGATGCCCAGATGAGGCGCAGCTGTGAAGTAATGCAGGCTATTGTCTAGGCCTTCTTTTGGAAGCTTTGGTGCTCTTTGACCCAGTGGCAGTTTGTTAGGCTTTAAATTGAAAAAGAACAGGCCATTCATATGCAAAAGCCTCTCCTCACAGCTTGGGTGGGGTTATAAATTGGGTGGGGCGGGGTCTCAGGGAATTATCAGCGTGGAGCCATGGCTGCCAGTCTGCTCTGACTCTGAGATGTCCAGGGTCTGTGTCCCGGGACCCTGTGCAGGAACAGTGCTCGCTGCAAGCACCTCTGCAAGAAAGCCACCCTCATGTTCCGGCTGGATGCCAGACAGTCCAGTTTTTCCCCTATGAGTCTGGGTCCCCAGAGTCTCACCCAGAACTGGAGTTCAGAGCAATTGGAAGCTTGTATCTCCCTCCCAATTGAAAAAGACAACAGCGTATCCAGTTGCCAGCCCGCGCACCTCCATACCTCCACACTTCTGCCCCTCTGCACCTCCTACCAGTTTCAATGCGCTTTTCTCTTTCCTTCTAGTTGTAGAATTTCCACTCAGTCAGCCTTCCCGTGGTTCTGGATGATACCCGTTTTGTCCTTTAGTTGTAGTTTTGATGTGGTTGTGCCAGGCAGCAAGTACAAGTGTGTACCTATGCCGCCATCTTGGTTCCTTTCCAATGCCAATGTTATTGTTTTTCAGATTTTAGAACTATACATAAATGCTAAGAGTTATAATAAAAGACTTAATTAATTTTACAAGTAGAATATAAATATTATCTTTGAACAATAAAAAATTCAAGTTATACATTGGGATTAGCAAGCTACAGCTTGCCATCTGTTTTTATAAAGTTTTATTGTAGCACAGCCACACACTCATTGATGTTATTGTCTGTGGCCGCTTTCATGCTACAATGACAGAGTTGAGTACTTGCCACAGAGACTTCTGTCTCTCAAAGCCTAAAATAGGCACTATTTCATTTTTTACAAAAATGTTTACCAATCCCAGCTGTTACTCTAACTCCAGTTTTTTTCCTTGACTCCACCTGCCTGCATGCACTGGCCCAGAGAAATGCATGAGCAGGAGTTTGCAGTATAGAAAGCAAAATAACTTAATACTGAATTGAATATGGAGACTTATACTCTAAAAATTTGATGCCCCGATGGCATATAGGCTGCAGATTATACATATAGGACAAAATCACAAGACACTGTGACTTAGAGATTTCAGGGTCATGCTGGGAACTGCTTGGTCAAATTTGAGGTAAAGGCAATAAATTACTTCTTCAGGTTTTGAGGACAATGCTGAAGTCTTTTCCAGATCCCTGTTTGGTCTCATGGGAAAGTGGCCAGGCGGTCATTCCACCTTAATGCTCAAGAGCTGAAACATAACTTAGGTCAAGATACTATCTTCATCCTGCCGGAAGTTCAGACTATGACCATTCGTCAGGTCCGGCTACTGTCTTCTGCTGCCTCAGGGTTTGCCGTTATTTGGGGAAAGGCTAGGTCTCTGATGGGTATATATAGAAAGGGATGTGATTTTGAGAGCTAGGATTTAAAACTAAATTTAATCAAAGTCATAGGGACCCTTGGTTTCACTGGTATAAACAGATTTCAAAGTGAATGGCAAGGTTTAGAGAGATTATGAAGAAAAAAAAGGATAGCCCTATAACACACTTAGCTCTGCAGAAAACAGTAGAACATAGTTATGGTATGACCTCTAATGTAAGCTTTCTGGCTTTTCAACATTAAGAATTGTTTTGTAGAGAATTGTTATTATGAAAGTAAAGGTATAGAGATTGAGAACGAAAGTAGTGCAAGAGTGATGAGGGAAGAGGAGGGCCACTAATGTTCTTGTCTTTCCAAGAAGGGAGTGAAGAACCACTTCTGTGGGGCAATAGTCATTCCATGGCTGGCTCCTTCTTGTCATTCAATCTCAGCTCAAACCACCTGATTTATTTGTCATAAAATATTTATTGGGCAGTTAGATGTGCCAAGGACTAAATTAGGCCTCCTTGAGAAGTCCTTCCGTGGTCAGCCAATCTAAAATAATCATCCAGACTCTCATATTATTCTTACTTTAACCCTATGCATAGCACTTGTCACTCTCATTTTTGCATGTATTTATTGGTTTACTTAATATGTTTTTGCTTATAAATTTAATGTGATTTATTTTGAATATATAACTATTTGGTGGAATAAGAACTTTCTGTGCTTAATCATCACAGTAGGTC